AAAATCAACCGAAATCGAGGTCCATCGTCCAGAAGCTAGTTGCAATGGCTGCAACAAGCCTGCTTTTTTGGCATTTGGTAACTTGGTACGCTGGCACATGTCACACGTCGCAATATAACGTCGCACTGTTTTGTTCATATGTGGCCAGTAGTAAGTTCGTCCAAGTCGTTCGACCGTTGCATCGATGCCGCGATGACCGGCGATTGGTGCGTCGTGTGCGTCATGCAAGAGGGTGTTGAGAAGCGTTGGCATGCGCGGCACACAGATTTGGCGTCGTCCATCTTTTTTGCGATAGATGATGCCGTCGGCTAGTTCGAACTCTTCGTCGTCGTCGTTCGTCCGAAGCCGAGTCAAAACGTCTGCCCAAAAAGAATCGTCCTTGTAGTGCTGAGTGCATTCCTTGCCAAGCGTCTCCCCCCTCACTGTGAGGACCACAGCACAAAGTTCCATTGATACGTCGGGGTGAGAAGGAGCGTTGGGCGGTCGTTTTGATAGAGCGTCTGCACCAGTATTCTGTTCTCGAGGAATATGATGCACGTCAAACTGATAGGCCATCAGCTTTTCCAACAAGCGGATCTGACGCTTGGAGAGATTCTTGTTGTTGGCGTGTAACGTCGAGATGGCGCGGCTGTCCGTGAACACTGTGAACTTTTGACCGTCCAGATGATGTCGCCATTGTTCTAAACAGTACGACACTGACAAAAGTTCTTGTTCGTGAACCAGGTAATTCATCTCTGCGCCCTTCAACATCCTCGAAGCATAAGCAACCGGATGCAATAAACCGTCGTCCTGCTCCTGTGAGAGGATACCACTAATTGACACTGTTGATGAAGCGTCCGTGTGTACGTAAAAGTGGCGGTCAGGATCCGGGATTGCAAGCACTGGTGCGGAACATAAACGTCGCTTGAGTTCCTGAAAGGATCTTTCACAAGCATCATCCCACTCCCAAGGAACGTCCTTACGCAGTAAGCGATTGAGAGGGGCAGTGAGGCAAGCATATCCATCACAAGAGCGTCGATAGAAATTACACAGGCCTAAAAAGCTCTGGATATGAGCAATTTTCGTTGGTCGTGGCCAGGTGGAAATTGCGTCGAGCTTATGTGGGTCGCATTTGATGCCGTCACCTGAAACAATGTGGCCAAGAAATTCGACTGAGCGCATCCCAAACTGGCATTTCGACCGCTTCGTGTACAGTTTGTGGTGTCGCAACTTTTCCAACACCAACTTCAATTACTTGACGTGATCCTCAGCCGTCTTGGAGTAAATCAAGACATCGTCCAAGTAGAGAATCACGATTACGTCGAGATATGGCCTAAACACATCTGACATTAAATGCATAAAGGTAGCAGGCGCCGATGATAGGCCGAAGGGCATTACTAAGTACTCGTAAAGCCCATATCTCATGAAGAAGGCCATCTTGTGTGTATCCTCGTCCTTGACCCGGAGTTACATATAGCCGGAGCGGAGGTCAAGCTTGCTCAAATAGCGCGCCCCAAGAAGCTGGTTCATGAGATCTTCGCACGCCAGTAGAGCGCATTTAGATAACACACTCGTCTTGTTCAAGGACCGATAATCGATCACTATGCGCAGAGTCTTGTCCTTTTTTGCGACGAACAGGACAGGAGCACCGTAAGGTGACGTCGACAGTCGAATCCAACCACTAGCCAGCAAGTCGTCGAGCGTTTTCTTGAGCTCAGCCAACTCATGCGTAGAAAGGCGATACATACGATGAGCTGGTACTTTGGCGTCTAGCAGTAAAGGTATGGCGTGCTCGACACTGTGCTTAGGTGGTAGACCGTTGGGAACGTCGTCTGGGAAAACATCTTCGTATTTTTCCAATATGTCGTCAAGTCCAGGAACAAAAACACGATCGCCGTCTACCATTATTTTCTCTGCACATAATACAACAAAACCGTCATCAGTAACATCTTTAACGAGTTTGTTGCCAATACAATGAGAAACGTATTGTATTTCCTTTGGTGTAGGTAGTGGTCGTGGGTGAACGTCATTCGTACGCCAGTCAATTTCTGGGTTTTCGTCATACAGCCAGCTTTTTCCCAAAATAACGTCATAGTCGTCGCTGCGTATTCTCGAAGAAAGGCGAATAGGTATTAAAAAGTCGTCCATTACTACTGTTGCGTCCAAGTAGCATGTTGAATCGGTTGTTTGTGCGTCGGCAACTTTTACAAAAGAGCCAGGTATTGATTGAGTTACGGAGATAAGTGCTATTTGTTTCGAGTTGCTCTATTCATCAAGAAAAATTACGTCAGAGGAATTTTTAGTCAGTCACAAGCACAGAAGAACAAATAATTACTATGAGGAACAAATCATAGTATTTGTTCTCTCTTATAATAACAAAACATAAATGTTTTTGTTATTTGTCTAAATCTCATTATCGAGCCCCAAATGTTTCGAAAGCAAGTTTCTCAACCACCCCTATTTTATATTTATGAAATTTTTATATACATAAAAATTACAAAAATACTTAATGATTACAAAATCTAATAAGGATTATAAAATTAAAAAACTATATTTATAAATATAGTTATTAATTTTTAAATCCATTACATTAAAAAATATTACAATTTTTTATTAATCTATAATCCCCCATTTTCCTTTAACTATGGATTATACTCCTATAGTTAATAAAAAATACAATATTTTTATTTTTTTTATAGTATAATATTATTGAATAAATATAATTATAAACATTTTATTTTTTCATTTTATTATAGAAGAAATATTACTTAAAATATATTATGTTACTATGGTAACTTTTTTGTTCTATTTCTGGGACTTTTAAACAAATATAATACATAGTAATAAATTTTTATTTGTTACTAAGTTACATATTTTTAATTCCAAATTGAATTTTATATATAGTTTTAAAATTATTACCTAATATAGGATTTAATTATGGAATCGGACATTGAAATTATGAATGAATATACTAATAAAAATGATGAAAATATAATAAACTTAAAAAATGAATTAAAAGATGAGATTAATAAATTAGTTTTAAATCAATGGTCTTTTTTAAATGAAAACTGGGAAATTATAAATTATAAATATAAGCATAGAACTGAAATAAAAAATATAAAATTTATAGATGAAGTAAAAGAAGATTTATTAAAAAAATTTAGGTTATATAAGTGTATTTTTTTTCTTAAATAATTTATATTCAAATATTAAATACCCAGCACCATATATAGAAATCGAAAAAGGTTTAATATTAATATTTCATTTAACATCTGGATATACTAGTAAAGATATAAAAAAATATATTCCATATACTAGCTTTTATGCATTTTATAAGAAATTTTGGATTACAAATTATGATTCGTTAAATAAAAAAGTTAATTATTATTTATTAAATATGTTCTCAAATATGAAAATAAGAATTTTATCAGCATTAATTAAAAACCCTAAAAATTATAAAAATATTACACTATTATTAGATGGACATGATAGCTCTATTTCTTACGATAAACCAAATATATTAATACAAAAACGGTGGTCATATAATTTAAAAAGTTCTGGTATTAGAACACAAGTTGTTTCAGATATAAATGATATAGTAATATATATATCTTATAGTAATTTATGTGGAGAAGTTAATAATGGTATGATGTTTCTAAATATGAAATTATATAATAAAATTTTAAAGCAAGATTGTATAGCTATTGATGGAGGTTACACCTTATTTATAAAACAATTTGAAGATTTATGCAATAATAAAGGATATGATTTAGATGATAATAACTTTTTCTATCCAATTAGAAAAGAAGTAAATGAAAAATTAAATGAACAAGAAATATATTATAATAAAGTCTTTGGAAGTTTTAAAAGTAAAATAGAAAATCAATTTCAAGAATTATTTAATAAGTTTAAAAGATTTAGTAATAATAACTCAACATTAAAGACAGATGATATTAAATATATAAATTTACAAATCAAAGTAGCATTTTATTTAAAAATATAGAAAAATTTTCAAATACATTTAATATTATTATACAAGAACATCATAAATTATGGAAAACTGATAACTTTGATTTTCCATAAGAAAATAGATTAATTGATATTGTTTATAATAATGAAATGAGACAGATTAATAAATTTAAAATATTAGAAGAAATACAAAATGATTTTTTAAAATTAGATATAAATGAAATATGATTATTGATGAAAATATAAATTCTACTAATAATAATAATAATAACAATGAAAATGAAAATAATATAACTGAAGAAAGTGATTTAGACTATCCCGAATTAAACAAAGTTACTAAAAAAAGAAGAAAGAGATTATATAAATCAAATAAAAAAATAGAAAATATGAGAAACCTAAATAAAGATGATAATATATATGAAATAGAAAACATAATTGAATATAAAATAGAAAATAATAAATATTCCTTTTTTGTTAAATGGAAAGGTTATAATAATAATGATAATTCTTAGGTTAAAGAAAATGATTTTTATAAGAAACAAATTATTAAAGATTATTTTAAAGAAAAAAACTATTATATATCAAATTTAAACATCAATTATTAAATGTATAAAAATTAAACTATAGTATAATTATTATTCTATATTTTTGGATTATTTTATAAATATAGATTGTTCTACACAGAGAAATTCTAAGTCCCATATTGCAAGTTCAACAACTGTATCTAGAAAAAAATATATTAAGTCCAACTAAGAGTATCAGACTACTCTGAAAGAGAGAGAGGTCGTTATGATTCAATCCCAGCACTATCCTTTTTTAGATACTTCAATTTGCAACACCTATGCTATTTTCACTTATACGTTCCTGAGAGACTTGGGTAAACTTCAAATTTGTATCGTCTTTTTAGACTATTACTATATTGCATTTCTCAATATGAGTTCCCTAGAGGTGTATTACTTGATTTCATCTGCCATCAATGACATTTGAGGTGTTTTTGTGAAAATCGTTGAGCATCTTTCACCATTTGCCAGGATTCTGACAAACTACTCTAGTCAATAATCAATTCATCGTATACTTTCATTTGAGATATCAAGATGGATTGGGTATTGTGCTGACATTTTCTGTTGCGAGACGATCTCGTACTCTACTACTGGGTAAGGGTACAGATATATAAACCGATCGCAAAAGGGTGCCTGTAGTTGTGTAAATGTAATAACACTTTTTCAAAAAGGCATGATCGAGGAGGCGCCTCTCAATGTCGTATGACGTTTGATATAGTCATCAGTACAACCGGTTGCACACGACATAGTGGGATCCTTGGCTACCTAATAGCCTTTTTTTGGCAAAAAACGAGCATTTCGACAGTTATGTTGGCTATTGGGTTATCAACGGAATTCGCCTTCCTATTTGCAACGATGGCGACAATAGGCGAAGAAATTGGAAAGCCTCATAGCCAAAGGATTCTTTCACTGTCAAGTAATGAAGAAGAAGAGACGAACACCGCCACAGTAGCACAGACAATAGGTGATGAAGCAAGTAGTAATGCACAAGGGCTCAATAACAACGACAGCAGCCGTCGGCCATCATTGACAATACAACGTCGAACTTCACATTTCTCTACTCGAAGTCAAAAATTACCAAGGAGATCCACAGCATCAGCAAATGCAACCCTCAACTGCGATTCGAGCATGGACAGACAGGCTTTATGGTCGTTGTGATTTTAAACGTAAACGGAAAGCCCCATAAGCAAGACAATGCATAGTGCGCCGCCACCTTCATCTGGAACTACTAGTGAGCAACGTCAGTTTCGTGATGGAAATGATGGTCTAAAAGCAGTAGATAACGTAGTAGTACTTTAAACATGTGATCTTTTCAATGTATATGCGGATATACTCCATCATTGTCAATGTAAACAAGAAATATAAAGTTTGGATGTGTAATAGATCTCAAAGAACTCCACAATGGTATGCATTTTACTCCATTTATTACCACTATTGTCGGGTAAAGGAAACGACCTCATTCATTGTTGGTTGCTGTTCCTATTGTACAGTAAAAAAGATGCTATTACTTATACTGGCAAATAAATGAATTACTCAATATATATGGCGGCCCTCATATATATCCTACATCAAGATAATAATATATAACGTTGAAGGAGGCCAGGCGCGAGAAGTTGGGTGCGTAATGATCCCTTTATAAATAACCCATCTAACTAGCCATTGCCTCACATATCTCATCGATGATGATTGTTAAAAAAAGTGATGAAAATGGGGAGAGAAATATATAGTGCTAGGTTTTAATTGTTATTTGGATGAGTCCTGCTCATCATCCTCGCGGTTTCTTTTCTACGGTACGACTGTGGGTGTTTCGATGTAATTCAGTGCTGAAGGGATGATCAGCTTATGCTGCCTTTTTGCCAAAACGGACACAAATCCTTCCTCCTCATCATCGGTACTAGCCAGTGAATTTTCCACTGCTTTGATTATTGCTTTGATTATGTGCTAGATAATTTATGGTTAGTACAGAAAACTAATCCTTCAAATACTACTTTTATTTTTATCGCTTCACTAACCTTCAGATGATAAACTTGTTTTAAAAATTTGATATATATGTTATAAAAATTTCTGAGCTCGCAAGGTATTTAGATTTCTTTGAAGTGTTTTATGCGGCAGGTGTAACCAGCTGGAACATCCATAATCGAAGTG